TCGACATCTGTCGAGCTTGTCGCCATTCCGGTGAGTCACTTAGGCATGTCATCTCCGGTTGTTCGGCGCTTTCTAACTCTGAGTACTTGGCAGGCACAACCTAGTTGCCAGAATTCTTCACCAGGAGCTCGCTCTGAAATACGGTCTCGTGGATCGGAAATTGCCGTATTACAAGTACTTGCCGGAAGCCGTGCTCGAAAATAATCGCGCCAGGCTCTATTGGGACCGGGCCATCGTCACAGACAGGACTATTCTTGCGAATAAGCCTGATATTGTACTGATGGACCGGGCACAGTCAAGGATATTTTTGGTCGACATTACCATTCCGTATAACGAGAATAGCAAACAAAATGTCTGAACCTGGCTCGTGAGCCTCACCTCGTGAGGTGACCGACATGTCACCATGGGGTGGTCTGCCGTTCGAAATTATTCCTGTAGTCGTCTCTGCAAACGGGCTAATATCCCAGTCAGCCTCTCGGGTCATCTGAGGCGGCTGGGACTACGTGGCGGACCGCTCCAGGCTCAAATGCAGATGGCGGTGCTCCTCGATACCGCCCGCATCGTCCGCCGGTTTCTTTCCCTTTCCCCCTAACCCTCGGCCGTTTGGTCTCCCCTGCCGAAGGCCTCCATCTGGTTGGGATTTTATTTATTTATGTATTTTTATATTTATTTTATGTTACTGATATTTATGTATATTTATCTTTTCATTTCCATTTATAATTATATATTTATAGAACCCAACCAGATGAGAAAACTATATTGATACCCCCTATAATAGTGATACAACATACAACCCTGCTTCCCTCCTCCCCCCTCTCCCCTGCCGGATATGATAAATGTTATCATTTTTAGGTTAAGTCTATGGGATTATCTTTTCGATTTTACTCAAGAAAGGTGTATTACCTTCGATAGGAGTGGTGTCAGGGGTTAAGGGACACCCCCCCTCCCACATCCCCTGCCCCCACCCCTGCCAAACGATTCTAAATTTTAAAAAGGTTGTAATAGATTTTTTTTTCTGGAAAATGGTGCATCACCGTTTAATGCAAGTGGTATTGTTATAATCAGGGGCCTCTACGAAATAAAACGCCTTACTTCCCCAAATTCCTGCCAGAGGATTCTAAATTTTAACCCTGATGCGCTTGAAGTTTCTTTCAAGACCTGGTTATGTGACAAATCAAATAACATTATGGTCTTGTATTGTACGAGAGGAACAGAACCATGATCGGCGCCATTCTGCACTCTGCTCAAGTTAAGTACATACATACGCTGAATCTTAGGTCTCTTCGAAACAACACATTTATGCACCTATCGTTTTACTTTAGATACTATATTTTTTGGTCTTTTGTTGTAAGTTAATACTTGGTTTTAAAGTCCCTCCAAATTAGGTAAGTATTGAAACTTATTATTGTTTTACTAAATTATGTAGTCTAGTTTGTAAAATGAATTTTGCTCGCTTTGATTTTTGCTTTTGTTCTTATTATCATCTCTCATTACATATACCCATTTTTAATATTTAATAAATAATAACACATTAAATTGTAAATTTATTACATGTATAATCAAATAATTAAATAAGCTTTTCTCTTTTTCTTTGCATGGGTAATTTAATATTTTTTTATTTTGTAAATGAAAATAAAATGTTTGTGTTAATTATTGTGACTCGAGCTGAATGTCTTTAACGGCTATCTCACTTTACATTTCGGTATTTCAATTCCACTTTGCTTGAGGTGGTAACATTCAGTAGGTAACAAAAACAGAATTAAATATCTGGAACATACATGCCAGGGTTCGAGGTTCATCCTATGAGCTCCAGAAAGATTTGTGACCAGCAGCGAGACTCACTATATCTGCAACCCCTCATCTGGCTGATGTACTTGGGCACGTAGAGCATCAGGGGGAGCACCGGACTTCGTCGGTGAAAATTAGGCGGGCTATACACCCACAACCATATTTTTCAAATAAAATTTTATTTTCTTGTGATGATGAAGGGTTGTTTATTTTATTTTAAACAACCACCATCACAATATAATCTAAAATATTAATATCAAGCCTTCATCATCATCATCATTCCAGCCCTTCACAAGTTCACTGCTGAATATAGGCCTCCCAGACAAAGCACGGTGCTGAGCCACCTGCATCCGGCTATCATCCTCCATCCATCATCGACTTCCTGCATGTCTTACCAGGTCGTCACTCCACCTAGTGGGGGGTCGGCCTACACTTCGCCTACAGTTACGAGGCTGCCACTCGAGAACCTTTTTTGCCCATCGGTTGTCGGCTCTTCGAGCTATATGGCCGGCCCATTGCCACTTCAGCCCACTAATCCGTTGGGCTATGTTGGTCACTCCAGTTCTAATGCGGATATCTTCATTTCTAAGTTTATCACGCAGAGAAACTCCGAAAATAGCCCTTTCCATAGCTCGCTGAACGACCTAGAGCGTCCTCATACGGCCAGCAGTGAAGGACCACGTCTCAGATTCGTAAAACATCACCGGCAACACACACTGGGTGTACAGTTTCGTTTTCAGGTTTTGTAGTATAGCTGACGAGAAGATATGTCGTAATTTCCGAACGCTGCCCAGCCGAGTTGAATCTGTCGATTGACCTCTCGGCCGAAGTTGGACTTATCTGTCGGACTATTTGTACCAGCTAAACATATTCGTCAACAACTTCGAGCTTAGTGCTCCCAACAACTACCGGCATAGGTGTGACATGTATTCTTGTAATATGTATTACTTATTGTACTTTAAGAATGAAAAGTTTGCAATAAACATATTTTGTTCATATTTGGTTGTTATTTTCTACTCATTCCTTTAAATGAACTTTTTATAATAACATAAATTTTCCACTCCCTTGATTTTTGACATAGAGAGTTTTCAGTGTATTTTGATTTTAGAAATTACTAGCAGTGATTTCATTACAGTTATTGAAAAGTAGGAGTTATTCCGCTTATCCACCTTTAAAAAATCCACCCTAGGGTTCCGTTTCCGAGTATACCCCCACTCAGAAACGTGTGTTCGGATTTCACTGATTGGAATTCACTTTTATATATTTTTCCGACATTTTACCCCGAGTACAGTTCAACTATGAATATGCTCGTACAATTTAATTATTACTAAACAACTTGGAGTTTTCAACCAACTGGAGAGGCAATGCGCGTTAATACCTAAACAAAAAGTCTGTCACTTTTAGGGGGAGGCGAGAAAAACACCACTGTATACTTCACTACAAATGCAAAATTTAATCGCATATACACGCACACTACAGCATTTGTGTTTGTGTTCATGACATTTACCCATACAATCAAATTGTACACGTGTCGATACACTGGTGCCGCTGTCTACATGCGTAAGCAACGTAGGGCGAAGACTATATCGATATTTTTATCGATACACAAATTATAGTCCGCATAAGTTCTGCGTTGGTAAAAGTGATTTTTAGTATTTTTTCATTCTTCCGCTTAATTAAAATAATATAAAATGATGTGTCTTACCTAGATTAAAGAGTACCTCTCGCCCTCCCTCAATTGCGTGCACTAATCCCGTCACCACTAATGCCAGTACCACTACTCCGTAATCTGTAATCCTGGGGCACTACTTTTATTTCAGCTTTGACCTTTCAAACAAGAAGTATGTATATATTTTTATAGGTATGGTATATATATATATATATATATATATATATATATATATATGTATATATATATATATATATATAAGAATTATTGTTGTTTGAACATAGCATATACGCAAACACAAAAGGCCTATGTTAAATGACAACTGGCACTGCCTGCCTAGGAGTAATAGTAATCTGAGATTACTTATAATCTTCGATGAATTAGAGATGATGAATTAGAGATCAGAGAATCAGAATCATCATTTATAAGTAGTATAATTTGAGAGCAGGCAGCACAGAACACTATTACTCCTAGGCAGGCAGTGCCAGTTGACACTTAACAAAGGCCTTTTGTGTTTGGGCATACGCCATGTTCAAACAACAATAATTCTTAAAGTAATAAACATACAGCTGTAAACTTTATGTTGCATTGTAGCTTAACTCAAAATTGTCGATCTAGTATAAAAATAAGAAGGGTAAACGGGGTTGTTTTTGCAGTAATTTACAATAATTTGCCGATTAGCATATTTTTTTGATATTTATTTGAAGTAAATTTTTTTTTATTCAAAGTTACAAGTATGTCAACAAAAATTTTGATAATGTAAACGATAAACAATATTATTGGCCTCCGTATGAGTTAATTTTTATCTCAGTAACACTAAAACTTTCAGAGATATGACTTTTTTCGTAAACGCGTAGAGAATATCTCAAGAGAAAAACAAAATGGCTGCCAAATAGAGGGGGAGGGAATTAGACCTCAGTGTGTAGTGTATTTTTATATTAAAATAGCTGTATTATAAAGTTAATAAAATATCGCTAGTCCGTGACCGGACACACTGTATATAGTCCGCATAAGTTCTGCGTTGGTAAAAGTGATTTTTAGTATTTTTTCATTCTTCCGCTTAATAAAATAATATAAAATGATGTGTCTTACCTAGATTGAAGAGTACCTCTCGCCCTCCCTCAATTGCGTGCACTAATCCCGTCACCACTAATGCCAGTACCACTACTCCGTAATCTGTAATCCTGGGGCACTACTTTTTTTTTTTTTTTTTTTATATATATATTTTTTTTTTTTTTTTGTTACCTTTGGCCAGTTTTTATCACGTTTTTATAAATTACTGTACACGGCGGAGGGAGATAATCGAAAGAAAAAATAATATATAAATTCTGATTATGCACTCCGTTTGAGGTGGATACATGAACACGCGTTTCCGAGTATCCACCCTAGGGTGGATTTTTTAGGTTGATAAACAGAATAACTCAAGAATAGTAAGCAAGCTTTGTCTTAAAAAAATCTGGTGTCTACAAAAATGAAAGTATGTGTTTAGCTGATGATTTGTAAATAAAACAGTATATTAATTCCTCTATATTTGTATTTTCAGGTGGGGTTTGGCCGTAATGGCACATTATTTGCTATGGAAGCTGGTAAAGTGGTTGTTACCTGTGAAAAGTTTGATCCAAACTGGGAACACACATGGGTACAGAGATTGTATGCGGGTCGAGAAAATCAAAATATATTTAAGAAGTATTTTAATGTAATACCCGAACCTCAGCACAACAGATTTAAATTGATTGATGAAGTATAATTTATATTGTAGTTGTTGTATAATTAGTCTAGCCATATTTTATTAAAAATTAATAATTTATATTTATACGAGATTATTTAAGACGAAGTATGTTTTGCTTTAGTAGTGACAAAAGCAAAAAATATCCCTTTCAGACCCAAAAATTTTATTAATATTATTATTTTTCGTGGGGATGTGTTGGGGGGGGGGGGGCGGATTAAAAGGCTGATTTAAAAATTAATTAAAAAATCCAAAACACCTCCAAATTCCGTAACTACGATCGTGACGTCTGGGCTGAATCTTTAATAGTGCACGTTCGTGATGTTATCCGGTTTTTTACTTTTAGCGCGCTTATTGCTATGTTAAAAGGCAATAATTTAGGTATAAAATGTCTTTAATTAAAATATATAATGACAACGTAATTGAGATCAAAACTAAATCAGTCGTCTTTACTGTTGCTTTATCAGACTTAAAACTAGGATTATTGGCTATTATTTTTTATGGTACACAAGTACACGTCACTTTTGTCGTATCTAAGCTTTGATTGGCTCCTACATCCATTCGGCATGCGCGGGGATTGTCGATAGCTTGAAAGCTTGTGGAGGTGATCATAACCATCATCATACGTTTTAGCTTGAGATGGTTGACTTGATCTCCTAATCTTTGGCGTGTTCGGCTCTAAATTTTCGGCTTGATCAGCATCATCACTTGGAGTAGTTCTTTTTATTTATTTATTTATTCATAAAATTTGCATTGTATTTGAAATGACACACAACAAATTTACATAGAAATATTGAATACGTAAGTTACAAATTGCGTTAAAACCGAACTAAATTCATAAAATATATCATTTCAAATTTTTTATTATAACACAACTCATTATTAGTAATTGTCGAAGTACAATAATATATGTAAGTATAAGTAAATAATTATAAAACCATTAATAAAAATAAAATTCAGTTCAATGTGTCAATAAAAGTAATTAATATTATGAAGGTCATAACAGCAATTTTTAGGGATATAAAGTCAGAGCGCCATATTATATCTGAAATAATTGACATTATTTATTCATTCTATCACCAACTCGGACACCGAATATAAACATTTTTCTAACAAGAAAGCTTTGAGTTTGGCTTTAAATAAATATGTGTTGTAAATTAATTCCTTTAAATCGGCGGGTAACTTATTAAATAACTCAACTGCTTGATAATTTGTATATATTTGTTTTTCTAACTTTTTTGTATATAGGAACAACTTTAGCCAGTTTAAGTTGATCAGATTGCCCTTAAATGTATCGAAGAGTCGATTTTCATTGACTCTTCGATACATTTAATTCATGAACTTAGAAAGAGGGCAAGCAAATTCCATTCCATGTTCTCCTTAAGAGGTTAGAGTAAGTCAGCTCAAATTCTAATTTCGCCCCCACTTCCCCGCGCGTCGTATGCTATGTACCGAAATATTTGTAATCACTAATACTGTAAGTAGAAAGGTCGTTAGACACTTATTTCATTAGGTTTATCATATTTATGCCTGTTTCTTAAAGCCAAGCCAGCCGCTTCTTATTTTTATCACGGTTATTTCCCATTTTAATTTTACGTCGTACTGTTGCGTAATGTATATTCTGATCGTAAGCGACACAACTTCACCCTTCAAAAGCCTAAGCGATACTAACGGAACGACGGGAATCAAGCTCAAGACGCCGATATTTTAGGTAATTTCTTTTTACAGTGAAAATAATGGTATTTAAAAAAAAGTAAATAACATAAGCACTGCTTTATAGTTAGTTCAGTTAGTATGCAAAGTTTCATGATCTTATTTAAAGTATTTTATGAATAACAGCGGTTTATTGTTTATTTTGGAGGTAACTTTGGATTTTTTTTCTATCGTGAAAATTTTACGAAATCGTGTTTTCGTCTAACATAATCACTAACATTAATCCTCAACTTTACCATATATTTATTTCAAAATTAATGCTGCAATATTTTCGGCATAACGAAGGATCTTGCTAAGCCATTTGACATTATATTTCCCCTTAATTACTGATACTGGCATGTCGTCAAATCCAGAAGAGTTTTTGTTCGTCATCTTACATACTTTTTTTTTATCCGGTGTGGTCCTATTAGAAGTTATGTCATTTTCTACTCTAGCCGTTGTTTCTTTTAAAAAATTCATTGTTCTCTCTTCATCTTTCTCTAAAATGACCACTTGTAGACAAAGATTACAGCAAAATTGTTTACTATTTCCTGTGGATCAACACTAACTTTTTCGTTTATGTTTAGAATTATGTGCTGTGCTATGGATAATCTTTTAGCATGTCTAAGAACCCTTCTATAGATTCGAATATAATTCATTTTATAATTTGCGATGCTAGAATTTTTTGGAATGTTTGAGCACAATAATCTTTTCATTTTACTTGAAACTTTGATTCCTTTAATGACCCATTTTATAATTTTATTTTTCATGGGCTGTATTTTAATATTTATCTTTCAAACATTCTTTAAACATTTTATTAAAACTGTTTAAAAATTATTAATACCCACATTACATAAGCTTTTATCTACGATGCTTCTGTTAAACCTAGCCTTATTTTTTCTATTCATCAATCTTTTTTGTATTATTATTGTATATTCTGGGTTTTTAGTGTTGACATTGATTTTATCAAGAATGGTATCGCAAAACAGGCCTCCGTGACCATCTGCTAGACCATTGTGATCCACCAAGCACTTTTCTATATTATCTTCAGAAAAATTTGTGATAATGTTATCTATTCAGGAATTCGAGTTTTTTCGAATAAATGTAGGAGGATATATAAGGCACCTGAAATTATAACAAGTCAAAATACTAAGGAATTGGGAAGCTTTTTTACTTGATAGAATCAGGTGTTACTTTGCGGAAATCCATTATAATAAAAAATAAAAGTATAAATTTCTTCGCAACCTTCCGCCAAACAAATACAATTATGTGTCTTACCTGGATTGAAGAGCACCTCCCGCCCTCCCTCAATTGCATGCACTAACTCCGTCACCACTAATCCCAGCACCACTACTCCCAACACCACTATTCCAGGCAAGACACACCATCGACGATAATACGACACGTGTTTCGCCTCTACACGAGGCATCTTCAGGTAATGTAGACTATACGGCGGCTGACAGCGGTCACGGTTGTTTGGCGGAAGGTTGCGAAGAAATTTATACTTTTATTTTTTAGCTTTTTTACTCTCAACAAGAACGCCAATATTAAAATCACCACATATAATGCACTTTTTGTTAAAAAAATGTTCTAACAATTTTTCTAAACATTCCCAAAAATTTTTCAAAATATTTGTCAACTGAGCTTCTATAGCAACAACATAAATTTAACCGTGTTTCAATATCCTTTACACCACATATTTCAAAAACATTTGATCTATATAATTTTTTAACTGCGTCAATGTTTTCACATTCCTTGTTTTTGTGTGCTAGAATAAGACTACCTCCTCTTTTTTCATCGTTCTTATGTTGTATAAAGCTAGATTTTTTTTGTTTTTCTGTTTGAGTACATGCATTTTTCAATTCCAAAGTTATCGATTTATCCTTGGGTTTCAGGTCATTGTTCACATATTGTAAGTAGTTAATTTTATATTTTATATGTAATATTTCTCTATAAATTAATCTGCAAGCAATTAGATTGTTAAAACTACCAACGTCGTCGTAATAGTCATCTAATGAAATAAAATTGGAATTTTCACAATTATTACAAACTAATTTTAAAGTGTAATTTAGTTGTGATACATTTAAGTAGTTATTGTAATAGATCTTACCGACCAGAATGTTTGTATTTGACATATTTTGCACAGTATGATGAAGAGAACTTAATACTTTCAAACACTGACCTCTATATATACAAGTACGCTGGACTGGCTATACATCGTGACATGATAAGGCAATTTGATTTGCGCCATTTTGGCGCTGACAGCAGAAGTGCACGTCCACGGAACTAATAATATCGATAAGACAGTGTGACAAAATATATCGATAAAAATTCTATACCCTACCTATACCTAAATAAATAGAATGGACTCTATGGATAGATGGACTCTACCCGTAACGTCCATTCTACTTATGTATCATATTAATGTAATGTCATCATTCATCACCATTAAAGTCCTTCATAAGTCCACTGCTGAACATAGGCCTCCCCCAAGAAATGCCATAAAGCACGGTCCTGAGCCACCTGCATCCATCAACTTCCTGTATGTCTTACCAGGTTTTCACTCCATCTAGTGGGGGAACTTCCGGCACTTCACCTGCCGGTACGAGGCTGCTACTCGAGAATCTTTTTTCCCCATCGGTTATCGGTTCTTCGAGCTATATGGCCGGTCAATTGCCACTTCAGCTTACTAATCCTTTGGGCGATGTCGGTCAGTCTGGTTCTACTGCCGATATCCTCACTCCTAAGTTTATTCTCCTAAACTTTCCAGCTTCGGCAGTGCCACACATTCTAGGGGGCTTGACATATCGCAATCGCAAATTGACAGGGCCATGGCAACGTTTTCATGCACATCCGCGGCCCCTCCGATGCCAGCCGCCCAATTGCAGCCCCACCTTAGTTGCTGACTTCTCCCCCCCCGTTTTTCTTCTCAGATAAGGCGCACCAGAAACACAAGGCACACTGCCCTTCGCAGCCTATGACTCCACCTGCACTACGGACTCCCCGAGCCCGATATGTGAATGGAGTCAGGAAAAAACGAGCACTTGGAAGCATCAAGTGGTGCAACTGACCAAAGTCGCGAAGGATAGTCGAGTGGCACCGCATCGTCAATCACCATACAAACACTCCTCTTCCCTGACAACTCCACCTCGACTACAGCGGTACAAGGAGAGGAATCTCCTCTAGCCGCAACCCACTAACACACATCCAAAGTGTTCTCTGCTCGACATCATCAGGCGACCTTTCGACACTTGGCTGTGGCCCTTGAGTTTGGGGGAAAATGAGGAAAGAAGAAATAAAAAAAAACATTAGGAATAATAATCTAATAC